GTCTTTTGTGACTGAGGCAATGGTCTGTAAGGGTGCTGCATACAGTTAGCATCTATGGGGTGACCTGTCTCCACATGTGGAGTAAAAGTTTGGAGGACGGAAACATATTTTTATTTTTTTCGGTCTTTATGGATTGAGCCCAAAGGGCAAGCTCCACTGTTCCTTGAGTTATACAAGCATTTTCTAAACCAAGCCATAAAGGGGGAGAAGTCGTCTCTAGTACTGACATGCCATGTGCGAGTAATGAGGTTTCGTAGTACAATTTTGCATTAGAAATGCCCAAAATGCGCTAAGTGTATGGAATCCATAATAAGTTTTGTGCTATTCATGGAATTTTTCTTTTCCATATGTGTGCATTGATAAGTGTTTGATAAGAGCAATCAGCATTGTTCGGAAAAGATACAGAATATGTGGCAAGACTATAATTTTTACTGTATGAATGCATCCTAACCATGATACTCCCCTATCTTCCCATGCCTCTAGTTGCAAATCCAACTTATGTAGGAGTGGTAAATAGTTTTGTTTCACTGTCGTATTTTGTGATTTAGGCATTTTAATACCAAGGTAGGATAATGATGTAGTGCACCAGTCGAAGGGGTAGTTAGTTTGTAGCAGTTGTATTGTATTTGTGAGAAGGCGTATCTCCAATGCTTGGGACTTTTTAGAATTGTTTTTGTATTAGGATATCTGTCCATATCTGTCTAGCAAGTTTAATAGATGTGGAAGCAATGAAATTGGGTTGCTCAGGAACAACTGTACATTGTCCACAAACAGAGCTATTTTTATTTCACCGGCGGGGGTACACAAGCCTGTTATCTTATCATGTTGTTTGATGTGCCTTACTAGGGGTTCTAGACATAAGATAAAGATTAACGGGGAGAGAGGGCAACCCTGTCTGTTTCCAATTAGTAATATGGAAGGGACAAGACAGAAAACCAGAGCTATACACTTTTGCTGAGGGGCGGGAGTACAGGGCCAAAATGCTATTTATGAAGGAGAGAGGGAAACCCATGACATTATTGCACAGTCGTTATTCGGCATGTACCAACCTATAACTTAAATAACACTCAGACACCAATAAGTTCTGTTGGAGTATAAAGTCCACAGCTTTATTATTTAATATAAATATTTAAATTAACAATTTAGGGTCATTGTCAACAGTACTCCTTTCATTCCGCTCTCTCCTGTCCCATACCCCCGACAATGACCCTACCAAAGAACAAACATTAACATAACCAATAATACATAACATGTAACTCACGGCCTACCAAGAGGCCCCACTTCCATTTGTCTAACTGCAGGAGTGTACCTAGACACCCCTACACTCCTTGGTTCATAGCCACAGATGGGCTCGAATCTACCTCCACACTTTTAACTCAGGCCTACTCCAGCCTAGACCTTGGCCTACCAATTTCCTAATCCACCAAACTTCCTGTTTAACCAAGACCTTTTCCCGCCGCTGTGACCAAACGGGAACTACCTCCTACTCATAGAGTGGGTGGGTGGGACAATTTACAGGTAAGTAAGGCTCAAGTTAAAATGGCCATTCACTAAAATGGCTGCTATTTAACTTTCCCCCTACACCCCTCCCCCTGCATTACCTTAGGTCAGCCCCTTGACCTAAACTTCACCTGCCTACTCCTGGCTATGTCAAGGCCCACTCCTCTCTGCGTTGCTCCGTGGTTTCATCCCAGACAGCACCTCGTTCATGTATGACCAATTCAAACGATCAAACGCTTTCCCAGCGTCCAGGACCAGCAATAAACCATGTTGTTTGCTAGTGCGAGCCCAGTTAATTAAATTTTGAAAATGACAGGTGTTGTCTCCAGGTTGTCTAGAAGGAATGAATACCGCTTGTTCTGGAGAGACCATATCTAACAGCATAGGTTTTAGGTATGTAGCTAGTAATTTAGCATAGAGTTCTATGTCCGCACTTAATAGGAGATAGGTCTTAGATTGGCACATTCTGTAGCTGCTTTGCCAGGCTTAGGTAATTATGTGGGCCATTAATATCTCTTCTGGTATAGTCCCCAAATTCTTAAAGTTATTGAAAAGCTTGGTGAGGTGCGGTGTGAGTTGTGGTTCAAAAGAGGTTAGTTTGATTGTATGGGAGGGCAGAAGGCCTACAATCTAAATTCCTCTTTGAAGATGGGACCCCAACATAGCCACTCTGTAAGGTGTGGGAAGTTACACATAAGTGGCCTGGAAGTCTGGCTTCTGTATAAACTGACCCTCTCATTTGCCATATGTCTTGATTGCCTCTTAGGTAAGGAGTCCTTCGATATGAACAAGCCTTGTTTTCCAATGTCATATCCAAAAGAGACATTAATACCTACCCACAGCTTAATACTCAAGCCTCATTTTTATCACGTCTAGAGTGGGACAATAAGCAGGCAAGCGAGTGGGCACATGTGGGCACTAGACTCAGTGACGGCGTTCCGTCACAGATCGGATAGCACGGATAGCATACCATGGGTAGGATACCACAGGTAGGATAGCACGAATAGTGTACCATGGGTAGGATACCACAGGTAGGATACCACGAATAGTGTTTTTTATTACAAAGGCTTGAGAGAACTTTCCTCATGAAGTCTATGTTAATATCCTATTTACATTAATCATTTGAAACGATTACCTGTTTTTTTTCTATTCTCTGAATCCAGCCAGAAAATTTATTCTTTGAGGCAGACGGTCGACTTTTCTTCACCTGTGCCTTCACTCTGCTTGACTTCAACATGCGCATCACTTCATCTAGTCATTTCACATAGTCAGTTCATATAGTCAGTTCATATAGTCATTTCATATAGTCAGTTCATCTAGTCATTTCACATAGTCATTTCACATAGTCATTTCACATAGTCAGTTCACATAGTCATTTCACATAGTCAGTTCATATAGTCAGTTCATATAGTCAGTTCATATAGTCATTTCACATAGTCAGTTCATATAGTCAGTTCATATAGTCAGTTCATATAGTCATTTCATATAGTCATTTCATATAGTCAGTTCATATAGTCATTTCACATAGTCAGTTCATATAGTCAGTTCATATAGTCATTTCACATAGTCAGTTCATATAGTCATTTCACATAGTCAGTTCATATAGTCATATTCATATAGTCAGTTCACATAGTCAGTTCATATAGTCATTTCACATAGTCATTTCACATAGTCAGTTCATAGTCAGTTCATATAGTCATTTCATATAGTCAGTTCATATAGTCAGTTCATATAGTCAGTTCATATAGTCATTTCATATAGTCATTTCATATAGTCAGTTCACATAGTCAGTTCATATAGTCATTTCACAGTCACATAGTCAGTTCATATAGTCAGTTCATATAGTCATTTCACATAGTCATTTCACATAGTCAGTTCACATAGTCAGTTCATATAGTCATTTCATATAGTCAGTTCATATAGTCAGTTCATATAGTCAGTTCATATAGTCATTTCACATAGTCAGTTCATATAGTCATTTCACATAGTCAGTTCATATAGTCAGTTCATATAGTCAGTTCATATAGGGTCCCAAACACAACAGCAACTAGCTCCCAATACTCCCAGTTGCAAGCCTTCTGCAGAGGTAGCTCTTTTGGATGGTCTACCAAAAAAATCCTGAACCACTTATATTATTCATCTATTTATTAGTCTCTCTTTTCGCTTCTCTCCCCTTTAGTATAACTGCTTAATTGTTAATGTTGTACCTTCCATGTTAACTCTGGTTTACATAAATGTTTATTATGTTAGTTAATTTGCTAATAGTCTTGTTAAATGATGTCCACCTTTTATGACCAACCCCTACTTTTGACAGTTTAGAGTTATTTCTGATAGTCTTGTTAATTTATGTCCACCATTTATGACCTCTCTTCATATCTTTAAATCTCAAATACTTTCTCCTCTGTTTATTTAGTTTTCCTTTAACTGCCATTTCTCACCTCAATATCTGTGTCTTCCCCTCCTTTAATTTGCTGTTTGATCTAACCCAGATTCTTTCTTGCAGCCTTGGTCCAAAACACCACAGCAACCAGTTCCCAAGACTCTCAGGTAAAAGCCTTATACACAGGTAACTCTTTTGGATGGCTTCCCGCCCACCCCAGGTATCTCATTACATTTATAGATAGGACAAATTACCTGACAACCCAAACACACTCAAACACTCATCACCTGCTAAACTATCACACTCCTGGCCTTTTAACCCCTCACCCCTCTCTTGGAACTCTAAAATACCACCTTATCTAATTCTGCATTATTGAAACCCCTACTCCCCTTCTATATAATATAAAATCTTTGCTTCTTCTTATAAAATGTTCTCCCTCATATTCTTTACCTTCACCCTCACTTCTCTCATTTCCAAAATATCTCTGTCATTCTGCGTACCTGTTCCTCCTGACACAATTTTCATTGCTCCCACCCTACTTCTCTCCCCTTTTTATTCATCCCATGCACTCAACTTGTACCTTTCCAGTTTATCTCCACCATCTCCTTCTAAATCCTCAAAATATAAACACTCTCACAAAACCTTTAAATCCTGCTCCCATCTTTTCTTCCTTTCTATCCTTCTATTCCTAGCAGCTGGTGATGTCTCTCCAAACCCCGGTCCCAACTTTGCAAACCCATCATGTGCTAACTCCAGCAATCACTCCAATCTCATACCCATCTCACGCTACTCTTCCTTGAA